TGGACAGTTTTAGTCCTTAACTAAAAATATATCCCCACATTATTAAGAATTATTACAGAAAAAAAGATTTCAGTGAATCTGTCCTAATGCAATGGTGCTCTCCCATTTCCACATAGCGTGTATGTTGTTTATTTTCATTCCTTGAGCACAAGATTTTATAGCCATAATTATCTCATTTTCTTATAGTACAAACAGTCCAATTTTTATTCATTGAGGTCAACATTTTTGTTGCATTCTTCCTCTGTTTTTTTTTTCTTCCCTTTAGAATTTGCTATTAACAACAAATACAATAGAATTCTGCTATCAAAATACCTGCTGGGGTAGAGTTTTATTAATAAAATTGTATTTTCAAATGAACATAGATCAAAAGTGGCAATAGTAAAATAGACAGCTAGAGGAAAGGATGCTTTAAGTCCATTTCCAGTTTCCACATCCTTTAAAATAAATAGTTCCTCGACCCTGCAACTTCATCTTAAAAGATTTTTGTGCAAGAATTTTCAGCAAAATCTGGAAGGCTTCAAAAAGTAATATTCGATTAAGCAGATTTTAGAAGTTAGAAGCGCTTCACAGTCTGCTGGCTATGAAATCCTGCTGGCTAGCCATTGAGCATGCAATGTTGTTGCTTTACATCTTTTCTACAGCGTTGAAGGGTGGGGAGACTGCACCCAAGCATTTATTACAGAAGACAGTAAGGCCCTGGACTTTTTCCCTTCTTATACATCTCCTCTCCTGTTTTTCCTGTGCTGCGAAGTGAGGTGTAGTGCCTTCAGCTTGTCCTGAAGTCTTCACAAAAAAACCCCAGAGGGTTAAAGCCTTTCCCCCATCCCCACCACCTGAGGTCTGCAAAGGAAAGAGCTGCTCAAAGCCTGGTAACAGGAAAAGGTCAGGAGCAGTGCATTATATTCTGTATGTTTGGATTAGCCCCCAATAGCTAAATAAACTGATTTAATGTCCAATGACATTTTCGAACAATAGCTAATAAAGTTATCCGGAGTATGCAGAGACAAAAGATGCACCCAGATCCACCATAATACATCTCTAATACATCCACAGAAGCAATGACCTAACAGTGAATTTCAGCAGTTTGGCCATTCAAATTAGAGGTCAAATATGAAGGAGCCCAAGTGAAAAAGCACCTACTGAACAGAAAAGACACACTCCTGTCTTGCCTATTACTATTGCTGCCATTTGTATGCAACTATCAGGTTTTGTCCTATGTTTTTAGCAGAGCGCCATGTTTTTGAAATAGAATCATGGTCTTTTCAAAATAAACACATAAATAAGTAAAGAAATAAAAGGCATGCTACTAAAGTGAATCACAAGCTCTGGATGCTTTTGGAAAACTTCTCTGAATGAGCTGGGTTAGCAGGTCTGAGGGATTTTTGCTAGAACCACATGAGGATTCTGAGTCACGTCAGCAGAGGAAGGAGCTGTGATGGATCCAGATGCTATCGCTCCTCTCCCAACCTGGAGGTTCCCACTCCTGTAGCAACGGAGCTGCACAATGAAAATAACATTAATGCACCTGTCTCAGCAGCTTCAGTTCACTGCAACGCCCCTTAAAAGGCTGCATCTTTGTGGTCCGTTTTGGAAATCAAGCTGCGAGAGCATGGACACACGCATCCCTCTGCTGCGGCTGCTGCCAGGCCGGTGGCCCTGGCCAGAAGGGAGACCGTGCCATGCATCCAGCCACCGCAGCCAGCCTCACCGGAGCTCATTTCCAAATGGCCCTGGTTGAATTTCTCAAACGGAGAATTTTTCAAACGGACCTGGTTGAATTTCTCAAACCAGAGACGCTGGTTCTGAAGAATGAATGTATGATTAATGGGGTTGCAGCACTGGTACAATTGTGGTCACCTTTTTAAAGTTTTCCATCAAAGTTCTTGGAACCTGAATAGTGGAGAAGATTAAAAAATGAAAGGGACTAAAAGCTATGGTCATATAAAAGGCAGTTCTAAAGCAACTAATCTAAAATTTGCAAATAAGTCTTGCTTACTTCAGCTGATTTGCACATTCACATTTTTTTAAAGTAATTATCAAAGCATTTTCAGACATGTTATGACCAAATATGAACTTGCTGAATACTCACACTAAGATAAAACACAAATAAACAGTCCCGAATTAATCCCATTAATATTACATATTACTCCTACGCTTAAAACAACAGTACAGAAAAATAAGAAGAAACGGCAGTGGGGACTGGCTGCATTCTGTGCCATGAACGAGGAGACCTTTGCCCACAGCACAGTCTCTTTATCATGTACCACCGTTTGTGCTCCTCAGAAGGTACCACCCTTTCAGCTTAAGATGAAAGTATACTGAGAAATATTTCTGATGATCCTTTTATATGAATACCTATTCTTTATAGATAATTTACACACAAGTATGAAGGGCCCAAATGTACACCCACTAATTCACTAATGCTATAGCAAGGCTTCAACAAAACCACTTCAGCTCATAAAAATAATGTTCTGGCAACCACAGTCCTAAATAACTACTTTCACTTTAACCTTGTGATTTGTTTAATCCATCTGAATCACTAATTCTACCTAAGTCTAAGTTACCACATAGAGCACTCCTAAGATGAATTGTTGAAAGTCATTATTTGCCAAACAAAATTGAACAGAACTACTTCTTTTTTGTCTTATTCAGCTCCTGTAAGTAAAAAAATATTAGCAGAGTTGTCTATGAATTCGTATCAGATGCAGCAGTGTGTCAGAAACATCAGCACCTCAAACACATGGTGACTTCTTCATGAAAATTAAGCATGTGAGGAGACCCCAAGGCTTCGGTTTAGTGGCTGTAAAGAAAAAGTGCATTAAGTTATGTACGTGTTTCACGCTCATACTGAGCTTCTACCACCTGCACAGAAAAAATATCTGGCTTGTGTTTAAAGGTGTTTTAAGTATGGGCTAATTTTCCTGGCAGGTGACAGAAGAGGCTCCACCTTCACCAAGGCTGGCACTGGCCTACTTTGCAATGAGGCAGAGTTAAAAAATAAGTCACTAAAGTAAACCTCAAACGTCCTTGTTCACTATTTCACTCAGACCCCTTGCAGCTGTCTGGCCAGGACCGAGTTTCAGCACAAAGCCCCACGGGTCTGCCACAAGAAATACCTGGGCAAGTTCTACAAGTACGGATACTGTTAAAATTTGGACCTTTTTGGTTAAAGCACGACAGTCTCTGCCGCACAGCTACCCCAAGTCACCCCAGACGATCAGTGACAAGTGATAGTTACATAGCAGGACTGTGTAGAGGATTACGTATCTTTACATTTAAACAAGCCTTGGGGAAAGTGCTAGACAAACCTGACCAGGATAATGCCAAAACTATTCGGTTGCGGGCACTGCAAACTAAAACAAGTGCCGGACTGGCGGGGCTGCAAGAGCAAGAGTCGCCTCTATAAAACCAGGAGAGCAGCAGACTTGAAGGAGCCACGTTATTACCTTCTGCTCTCCCTAGAGACCGAAGGAGTACTATTCCATCTCCCAATCTCTGCATTTTTCTCCTGCAAAAAGCCTATATGCTGAAGTTTATGAGGCCTGAATTTCAAAAGGAAAACACGCTTCACCTTAAACTCTATGCCCAACTGTCACTGCTATTTTATCAGATGTAAATCAACACAGTTTCAGGGTTTTGCATTGTGTTTCAAAATACAAGCCATACATAACGGCTTAACCAAACGAGTGATAAGCATGAAATATTACAAACCATAAGAAAAAGGAAAAAGCATAATCCTGGGCTGCCCCACATTGTCTCCTCATAGAGATATTACTTCTGAGATTAAAGAAGTCCTTGTTTATTTAACAATTTGACCAATCTCCAACAATAAAGCATTTAATGGAAAATATTAACATGGGACCTACAAACAGAGCAGCTATGTTATAAAGACTGTAAATAGAGACTTGGGGTTTTTTTTACTTTAACATAAACAATAAAAGCTTAGCCAAAAGCAACAAAAAAACCAACTGAACTAGGTAAAAACTTAGATTGTAAATACTGACAATCAAAAAAGTTCTCAGGTGTTAACCTTAGAGTCTTAGAGTCCTATTCTGAAGCTTTAAAGATACCCTAAGAATAAAAATGAGCAACTAATGGTATAAAATAAGAAAACACACGTAAATTACATACACTAAAGAAAATACACGTGCTATATATATATGCCTAACACGAATGACAAATTCGAATGACAAATTCATTTTAGGGGTGAACTCCTTTTTGGTTGAGAAGTAAAAGCATATATTACACTTTACTGCTTTGGGGAGGAAGGAAAACACATAAATTAATTCTTCATTACAGTTTAACAAGGCAAATTATTTAAGGACTATTTGTATTCAAGCTAAGTAGACAGAATCATGATATTACATGCTTTTTATTCAAATGGAAAGAATTTACATTTACCTACCATCTCATTAAAATAAGATGATCTAGCAGTAGCACTTTCCTTACTTCTTTTTCTTTTAATTAAAATGTTCTTTTTGAATGCTTAAAATAATTCTGAGGTTTACAGTAAAGTATTTTTTAAAGCACACATTGGCTCTTTTTCAGGTCTAATGTTGGTAACTGTCTAAACTCTCCAGAGGCCAAGTGGATGTTACAGGCTTTTGCTAAACAGCATTGTTTTTCAAAGGCGGGAAGGGATATGACTCTCGACAAACACAGCTGGGATGAGGAGCTCTAAAGAAAATCAAATTTTACTAACATAATATTTTTGCTTTTGGCTTATTTTGCTCCAGGTGTATTACTCTTAACATGCACAGCTTTGCAGAATAGCTACTCCTATGGTAAAAATTCTTCTCTCGTACCAAAAAAGCTCTCCCAGTTCGATGCAGCCGCTATGTAACTACTCCCGTTATGTAACTGCACCAAAGGTTGAACTGTTCTCGAACCACAGTAACGTCCTTTCAGTTTGTCCCTTCCAAAAAAAGACCCCTGAAAACCCCCTTTCACAATTACAAGCACAGTACGCAGAATAGTCCTGATGGCAGGATCAGGCCTCCTGTTTTTGCAACAGCCCTCTGCGCCAATAGGAGCGTGCAGCTGAGGCTTAAAGGCTTATGTGTATGTATGTGCAGGGGAAGTCACATGTATACACAGAGTTTGGTGCCACTACCCAGGGCAGCGCAGCGGCGTCAGCGGTCTTTTTCTAAGCTCTGCCATTGTTTACTCCTGCTAGAGAAAGGAGATATTGGACTTTCTGCTGAGCTCACTTTGAAAAGGGTCCGACTTGATGGGCAAAATGTTTCTGCCAGCCATCAAGGAACAACAGGGCAGAGCCTACCAGGTGAGATTTTAAGTTCACCTTTTAGATTGTTTTCAGTTTTTAAGAGCCTAGAAATAATGCATATAAACCTTGGAGCAGTGAAAATGAATAGTGCCATCATTAGAAACCAGCGTTCAGTTTTTAGATAACAGTTCTTTAGGAAAAACGCTGTTGTTTAAACTTGTCATGCTCCTACTTTTATCTACTTGTCCAAGAGAAAGTTACAGTAGGCTTTTTCTTACGCATGTCAATTTTCATGCTCCTGCACACGAGGCTGGATTTCTCATTTACTGCTTCTTTATATACTGAGTATGTGCTCTTAAGTTTTTTATGAATCGCTCTGAATAGATGAGACCTCAATTTTTCTGTCTATTAAATCTAGAAGTATAACAGCATAGCAGAAGCATAGCAGAGGGACTGATCAAAAGTTTATCTAATTAGTCTTTAACAAAGTGAAAAAGTTCTCAGTGAAAGTGAGATACTTATGAATCTTCTATTCATAGCATAATAAAACACACAGCAAACCAGACTGTGAAATATTACTGCAAAGCAGCTAAGACACAGCAGTAACTAATTAACTAATTAATCACAATTAAGCTGCATTTTCATTTATATTATAAAAGAAGGTAAGCCAAAGGCAAACTTCAAAGCACCAAAAATTTCCTAACTGCTCTCAGCAGAACCTTTGAATAAGCAGAATGACTGCTGTCCTTTTTAGCCTCCATAAGCATTTTTAACTATGCTAACCACCATGATATTTGCAAATCTGTTTTCTACTGCACTTAGCAGAAAAGCTACTTTCCTTTAAGGCTCCGTCAGCTGAACTTTATGTCCTCTTTATATAAATGCTAAAGCAGTATAAAAAGGCAGCACCCCATTTCTTACGCCAGCATCACATCCTTCATGTATTTGATTGGCCCCATCGTTTAAGTCAAAGCAATATCCCACAGATTTCAGCAGAAGTTGGACTGCTTCTGAAATCATGAAAAAAAAGCTAATCAAATGTCTGGACAATATGATTCATGTGAACGTCTACGTTTGTGATCTGCACATCAGAATGATTCATTTGAACTCCTGCATGCAGGATCTGAACATCAGATAACAGTTTATCAGAATAGTCTGCATATTTTCCGCAACAGCCAAAACACGTAAAGCTCATTTAAATGAAGATAGTGAAGATAGGCTAGCAGGCTCCAGTGACCTCCCTACAAACTGTGGTTTACTGTTGGTATGCACCCTGTGCCTGTGTGGGCTATGTAAAAACAACCATTTATCAATCATTACTAAGAAACTGGCTCTGTGACAAACTAATTACTCCTCAGGCTTCCACCCATTAGCACAGGAGGAAGCAGATTATAAATGTATTTTACACAGGCTCTACACAGCTCCTGCAGAAACAAAATCTGCTACAGAAGTCATGCTTTCTTCCTGTGGTGTGCAAGATTTTTAAAAATGTGTGTACCTATTGAGGACACTAAGAAATCTTTAAGAAAAAAATCTGTTCAAATTAAAAAAAAACCCAAACAGTAATTGCCGAATGGCATGTGAATCAATACACTGCAATTACTAAGTACTAATATTTATTTCAGTGTCATTTATTTGGCTGAAGTCCCAGGAATCTGTACAAATCCTAACTACGGCTTCCCAAAACACTGTGGATTGGACAGAATGTGGGTAACAGGTGGCTACAGGCAGTATACTCAAGGTGTAACTTCACAGATGATGTTGTAATGGGAGACTTTAGGTTTAGAGAGTCCTGGTTTACGGAGGTCCCAGACTCCTTTGCACTTTTCTTGCCCCAAAATTACTTTATCTTTTTGCCCTTGGAAACATTTGCCCAGCCTCATATTGGGCTGGAAAAAAAATGACACCGTTAAGAATAAGTACGGAAGCATCACCATCCACACACCTGAGAGGTATAGCCAAGGGCTCAAATCAAACCAGCAAATACTTAAACCTCTAAACCCTTCGCAAACATCCTAGAACAGACAGTGCTAAAGGTTACTACTGGCTTCATCAAGTTTGATGGAAGGGTCATTCCATAGAGAGAGGTGCAATGGGGAGCCTTGTAAGAAATCAAGATTATTAGTAGAAAAATTTGATAGATAAGGGGTAAAATAATAGCCACCCTTAGATCAGCATTAATATTATAGTGGCCTATATAAAATGTTTGAGATATTTTATCCAGACATTATAAATAGAATAGGAAGATGCAATCAGTAAATAGTCAAGTTCATCCAAGAAGCAGCTAGAAAATGGTATTTCCTTCATCAAGCAATAGAAATTAAAAGCCACAGGAGTGTCAAGAACAAGCTGTCTCAGACTTTTGCTGACCATTATCAGAAATTTATCTGTTTATCTCCAACAGATGTGACAAATTTTGAAGTAATTTCAGCCTCAGTGCAACTCTACCGAGGGCCGATTTCCCCCTTCAAACTCCAAACACAAACCAGTTTTATACTCATTCTTATAAATGTTATCTAAGAACTATGTCAATATTTTTGCATTTACTGGAAACCTCGTCCCTGCAGTCTGAGTCTGTTTCACAAGAGTTTCCGACACAGCCAAGGTGATGTCTAGTTGATAAGTCACCAGGTCAGCTTTCCCTGATGTTTCTAATAGGAAATGGCATTATATTATATTTTCCAGGAAAACCACCATCTGTGCCTCCTGTTGGTCCTTGCAACTGGCAGCAAAGTATCTGTGGGGAATGTTTTCATGCTGCCAAATTTCAGCAGCGTTCCCCGTCATAAGTCCTAAGTGCGGGTGAAGCTAACAAACAGTGGGTTAAGATAAGAGCTGCTGTTTCCACCCTGCCAACTCACCGGGCCAACTCATTTGCAGAGTAATGCCAGCAGAGTTGGTACTCCTTTGACGCTCTGTCCCTGGGATAAATTCAGTCTGCAATACCTAGAATAAGGATAATTTGCACGAATTTTGATTGGCAAGAATCGGTCATCTTTACCGGAGTGATGATGATTTACATGGACCAGAAGCACCATGTTAAGTTCACATACATTCCTCACCTGGAACCTGAGCAACTCTAAAATGCCAGAAACGCAGAGATCCAGCCACTTATCTCCTAAGAGGTGTAAATGAGCTGTCTGCATCTACAATCTAAACAAATTAGCTAAACAAAGAAATTTACCATAAAGCTGTCTTGCAATTTTGTATTTTCTCAAATACTAAAAAGGCCTTAACAGAAAATTCTAAATTTGTCTCCAGCATCTGATGATCTTTATACAGAAAAAGGAACGTATGTGTGTCAAACATTTTTTTCCCCAAAACCATTTAAGTGTTTGTAGATACTGGGGGGGGAACCCCCTTATAGTTAAAGATTGATGATTATCATAAAAGAAAGATCCTTTAATGAAATCGCCCAACTAGTGTATTCCATTCCTTAAGTCGGAAAAAATGAACTAAAATACTGTCATTAAAAACAGGGGGACAAAGTGTATCTATTATGGAAATCTAAGTCCCAGCTACTCTGAACTTCAACATCATGATAGTAAGAAAGCTTTCTGAAGGTGCATGTAATCCTAGCTAGACCTACTGAGTTGAACTATTTCACACCAAAAGAAACTGCAGCTTACATACAGTTTTAAATTGAATGAAAATATCTGCTACAGTTAATGGGCTTGTGTGCTCTCCAGGAAACTGAAATGGTATGTTTTAATTAAGTCTTTTGGTTTCTGTGGCTCATGTCGTGGTTTAAGTGGGCTGGCAGCTAAAACAACCACACAGCCATTCGCTCACTGTCCACATACACAGCGGGATGGAGGAGAGCATTAAGAAAAGAAAGGTTGAGATAAAGACAATTTTATAGGACAGTAAAGGGAAATAACAACAACAACAACAATAATAATAGAATATACAAAACAAGCGATGCATAGCACAATTGCTCACCACCCGGAACCAATGCTCGGCTAGGTCCCGAGCCGCGTCACCTCCCAGCGAACCCCCCCAGTTATATACGGAGCATGACATCATATGGTATGGAATATCCCTTTGGCCAGTTGGGGTCAGCTGTCCTGGCCGTGTCCCCTCCCAGCTTCTTGGGTGCCCCCCACCTTCTTGTTGGCAGGGCAGTATGAAAAGCTGAAAAGTCCTTGACTGCTTGGCAACAACTAAAATATTAGTGTGTTATCAACATTATTCTCATCCTAAATCCAAAACACAGCACTGTAGCAGCTGCTAGGAAGAGAATTAACTCTATCCCAGCAAAAACCAGGACAGCCTACCAGTTACAAGCACAATGGATACATTGTGGATACACAGGCCACATTTTTTAAGACTTTTTCACTGAACCAGTTAAAAAATTGTGTGTGTGTATATATAGCGACTTTCAATCACCCTGATACTGAATTTCATTTAAATTTATTGCCACTTAGTTTTAAAGTAGGATAGCTGCATCAAAATCAGGTTCCAAGTGCTCTGAAAACACGGACCAGGCACTGCAGCAGTACTCACTGGCTGTTCGTACTCAACACTCCGAACGGCACCGTCTACTCTGCTGAAAAGCTGTCACTTCTTCTATTCCTATTAGTCAACTTGATATATCCAGAGCTCGAAACATCTTACAAAACCTGTTTTCTAATACTACACTCATTCTAAATATTACTGTTGTTTAATACACCATAGGGAGTGGAGGGTGTCCCTGTCCATGGCAAGGGGGTTGGAACTAGATGATCTTTAAGGTCCCTTGCAACCCAAACCATTCTGCGATTCTATGAATACTAGGGAAATTACAGGGCTTTTATTTTGCACATAACTCAGTTTTTCAAGAAAAGTATTACCTAGTGGATATTTGGGCATCTCAAAATCGTATCACATTTCAGAAACCCAGGCAGCTAAGGCGTGTAGATGAATACAGGTAACTGCTGCGTAAACTCATTCTGCCTGATGGAATACCCTATCTTTAGAACTGCACAAAAATAAGATATTTCACTTCTTGTTGTAATGAAATCTTAAGCCACAACACATCTCTGACATATTAAAAGCTGCACTGTTCACTCTATGGG